ATTGTATGTGGTGTGACAGGGATCTTTAACATACTGAGATTTTATGTAGTTGGACAGGGATCCTTAAAATACTGACATGTTATGTAGTGGGACAGGGATCCTTAAAATATTGACATTGTATGTGGTGGGACAGGGATCCCATACTGACATTGTATGTGGTGTGACAGGGATCTTTAACATACTGAGATTTTATGTAGTGGGACAGGGATCCTTAAAATATTGACATTGTATGTGGTGGGACAGGGATCCTTAAAATACTGAGATTTTATGTGGTGGGACAGGGGTCCTTAAAATAATGACATTGTATGTGGTGAGACAGGGATCCTTAAAATACTGACATTCTATGTGGTGTGACAGGGATCCTTAACATACTGAGATTTTATGTAGTGGGACAGGTATCCTTAAAATACTGACATTTTATGTGGTGTGACAGGGGGATCCTTAAAATACTGACATTCTATGTGGTGTGACAGGGATCCTTAACATACTGAGATTTTATGTAGTGGGACAGGGATCCTTAAAATACTGACATTGTATGTGGTGTGACAGGGATCCTTAACATACTGAGATTTTATGTAGTGGGACAGGGATCCTTAAAATACTGACATTTTATGTAGTGTGACAGGGATCCTTAAAATAATGACATTGTATGTGGTGTGACAGGGGTATACTTAAAATACTGACATTTACGGGTGGGAGAGGGATCCTTAAAATACTGACATTGTATGTGGTGTGACAGGGGTATACTTAAAATACTGACATTTACGGGTGGGAGAGGGATCCTTAAAATACTGACAGTCTATGTGGTGGGAGAGGGTTCCTTAAAATACTGACATTTTATGTAGTGTGACAGGGATCCTTAAAATACTGACATTGTATGTGGTGTGACAGGGATCTTTAACATACTCAGATTTTATGTAGTGGGACAGGGATCCTTAAAATACTGACATTTTAAGTGGTGTGACAGGGATCCTTAAAATACTGACATTTTATGTGGTGGGACAGGGATCCTTAAAATACTGACATTTTATGTGGTGTGACAGGGATCCTTAAAATACTGACATTTTATGTGGTGGGACAGGGATCCTTAAAATACTGACATTGTATGTGGTGTGACAGGGGTATACTTAAAATACTGATAATTACGGGTGGGAGAGGGATCCTTAAAATACTGACAGTCTATGTGGTGGGAGAGGGATCCTTAAAATACTGACATTGTAAGTGGTGGGACAGGGATCCTAAAAATACTGACGTTGTATGTGGTGGGAGAGGGTTCCTTAAAATACTGACATTTTATGTGGTGTGACAGGGATCCTTAAAATACTAATATTTTATGTAGTGTGACAGGGATCCTTAAAATACTTACATTGTATGTGGTGTGACAGGGATCCTTAAAATACTAACATTTTATGTAGTGTGACAGGGATCCTTAAAATACTTACATTGTATGTGGTGTGACAGGGATCCCATACTGACATTGTATGTGGTGTGACAGGGATCCTTAAAATACTGACATTGTATGTGGTGGGACAGGGATCCTTAAAATAATGACATTTTATGTGGTGAGACAGGGATCCTTAAAATACTGACATTGTATATGGTGTGACAGGGATCCTTAAAATACTGACATTGTATGTGGTGGGACAGGGATCCTTAAAATAATGACATTGTATGTGGTGGGACAGGGATCCTTAAAATAATGACATTGTATGTGGTGAGACAGGGATCCTTAAAATACTGACATTGTATGTGGTGTGACAGGGATCCTTAAAATACTAACATTGTATGTGGTGGGACAGGGATCCTTAAAATACTGACATTGTATATGGTGTGACAGGGATCCTTAAAATACTGATAATTTATGTAGTGTGACAGGGATATACTTAAAATACCAAAACATACTGAAAAGTTATCTCCAAATTTATACATAAATGTTTAATATATTTATGATTCAGTATGGGTTTACAAGAGATATGCATTATTGCTGCTTGGTTATATTAATGCTAGATTCAAAATCAATACAAGGAAGAGGTTTCTATAGTAACATGATAAACAATTAATTTGGTTCACAGAGCTCTGCTACATGTTGGCAAGAAAAAACCTATACCTAAGGGAATTACAAATACTTGACACTGAGGATTTTTTTTGCCTTGAATCTATACCTAATTGAGGGAATTACAAATACTTGCCCCGAGGATTTTTTTGCCAAGGCAAACATTTGCCACTCACTGGTAAAATCTATATTCACCAGGTGATAAGTTTGCCCTCCACATGTAATTATTACTATATATCGCATGCTTAGTACAGTAAATTGTTTTTATGACAAAATTACCCTCATCAGGTAGTGCAAAAAAGGCAAAAGTTAACCTGTGGCAAAAAAAAATCAGCATATACATCTAGTATTTACAAATATGGAACAAAATTTTATATTCATTTGTTCTACAAAGTGTACATGTGCAATGTACATGATTATATAGTTTTTTTATTTAATTCAATCAAAATGATAATTTAATGATCTTAGGGTAATTATTTTTCATCAATGGCATCAATTTGTGCAGTATTGAATAATAAAATATTCATTTGTTTATTATAACAAAGTGGTACCATTCCCCAAGAAATACAAACACATTAATCAATTAAAACGAAAAATCTAATGTGTTTTGAAAGCTTTTATAAATCTGTTTTTTTTATTTTGCATTTCACCTTGCTTAAAAAAATATGGTACAATATACAAATGTACCACAGCTGTAATATTTAAATACTGGATCTATGGTTATCTAAACTCTCACCAATGAACTTCCACAATCAGGCATATACGCTGGTATTATGGAACACACATTTAAAACAGTTTAATTTAAATGCAAATTTAAAACATTAACAAATAATCAACCCGAACAAAGGAATTTTGGCAGTCAGGAAGATGAAGCGGGTGTATTTTGCAGCTTGTTGTCGCATTTAATACGGTAAAACCTGTCTATAAAGGCCACACAATTTGTAAAGTGAATACCTGTCTAAACAATCACCTCTTTATAATGAAATCATTTCTATTGATCTGTAAATTTAAGGTCACCTCTTTAGGGAAAACCTGTCTATAAAGGTCACTTACGTATTGTGAATATGTCCTTAAATGCAACCTTTGTCTTCGTATTGTCAATACCCATTTAAAGAGACCACATCTATTAGCATATATATATATATATATTATATAAAGAAAAATTCTTAACAACAAGTCTTTAGTACTTTCATCTCTTCTAGGAGATTTATGATTTCAGTACAGGTATATATATATATATACCTGTATCAAATTAAGTCACCTCTATATAGTAAAACCTATCTATAAAGCCCACATCTTAAGTAAACAAGAGGCCCAAGGGCCTTAGCGGTCACCTGAGTTATATTATAGGTACTGGTAGCTCTATTTTATTGTTTAGATGTGATGTGGAAATCAGCATGTAAACTAAGTGAAATACAATACTTGTCATGTCATCAAAGGATAAGAATTTGAAAATATTGGTAAATGTTCCCTTTGGGGCCCCGCCCTAGCCCCTGGGGATGGGGCAGGAATCCCAATTTTACAAAGTAATACTCTCATTCACCAAAGATGATTCTGACAAAGTTTGAGTAATTTTCTGTTGAAAATGGATGAAATATACCCGAAAGTGTTATTTCCCTATATAACCCAAAGGGAAAAGGGATAGCTCGGGGGTCCTGAAATCTTCGATTTAAATAAAGCCCCTGATGATCTTTCTTTCCATGCAGAGAAAATGACTGTAGTACGTCTGAGCCTGGAGAAGAAAATTTTGGAAATATTGGTTAATTTTCCCTTTGGGGCCCCGCCCTGGCCCCTGGGGTTGGGGTTGGAATTTCAATTTTACAATTGAAAACCATCTTCCTCCAAGGATAATTCTCACGAAGTAAAACTTCCTACAGAATGTTGTCAAAATATACCCAAACGTGTTATTTCCCTATATAAACTATAGTAAACTTTATCCCCTCCCCAAGGGAGAACAGATAGCTCGGGGGTCCTGAAATTTACAATTTAAGTAAAGCCCCTGATGATCTTTCTTTCCATGCAGAGAAAATGACTGTAGTACATCTGAGTCTGGAGAAGAAGATTTTTGAAATATTGGTTAATTTTCCCCTTGGGGCCCCGCCCTGGCCCAAGGGGTTGGGCAACTTGGGATAGGAATCCCAATTTTACAATTTTGTAGCCTCATCTACCAAGGATGATTCTGACCAAGTTTAAAAAAAATCAATCCACTGGTTCTTGAGAAGAAGTTGAAAATGTAAAAAGTTTACGCAAGACGGACGACAAGTGATTAGAATAGGTCACTTGAGCAAAGCTCAGGTGACCTAAAAAAATATATATATAAATGTCTGCCTTAGAATCTGAACCTGTAATACCTGCTTAAAAAGTTGACATCTGCATAGTACATATATACATGTCAATAAAATCTCATTCTCCCTGAATTGTATTGTAATTAAAATACGAAATATTTGTTTAAAGACACTTTGCCTATGCTTTTCCTGTTGGACTCGACACAGATTTTCAGAACCAAGGCAATATATTCTATAATTGTATCTCTCAATAATGGGACCCATCACCACTGTAAACATGTCAGGAAAGACTTGCCTGAAAAAATCTTACATCATGGGTTTGATATCAATAGAAATGATTTCAGCATTTTAACTTTTGTAAGTTTTATCTCCACTTATCAATATTATGGGTACATATACACATTTTCGGTTCCCCAGAAAATGGCAGTTTAACCCTTTCAACACTGTAGACCATAATTGACTCACCCAGATCAATTTATATGGTAGAGTTTATTAAAGTTACATAGGGGTGAAATGGTAAATACACAGGTTTTACTGTATTATTGACTCTTTAAAGCTATTTCCTTATCAGCAAAGTTTAATGTGCAACAGGTGGGAGAATGATGTTTGCACAGCAAAAATGGGTTTTGCTGAAAAGTCTCGACAATCAAGTAATCACCTACCTAGCAGAATCCTTTGGTATTTGAAGACTCAAGTTCCTGTTTCGAGGAAATCAACATTTTGTTTAACTTTGACTGCGAATGATTTACTAGCTCCACAAACAATATGGACCATGTTACCTAGCTTTCTTACAATATGATACAGATCGTGATTTTAGATTTTCCTTCTCAAGTAAGCGAGTTCATGTTTCTATTTCAAATATTAGGTGTTGTCATCGTTCGTAATGCAAGTTCTGTACAATTCATAATAGGGCAGGTAACCAAGCAAGCTAAATCAAAAATAATTTTAACTGTGTGTAGAGTTAATGCATCTTTAGAATAAGTTGTTTAAAAATTCAAACAATCTGACCCAGGCAGTATATTTAAAAGTAAATCAAGGTCGTTCATTTCAACAAACTTGTTAGCTCTTCAAGCAAACTTCCTACAGGGCTGACATCATTGATCCTATCTCTTGGTCAATCAGAAGAAGTTGTTGAAATCTTTACACCCATTTGATCCCTGTGACCTTGAATGTTGGACAGGTTAATCAATTTGAATGAAATTTGAGGCCCTTCTTTCTAGCATGCTACGTATACAGGCTGAATATTATGATCCTAAGCCTTTCAGTTTCAGTTATTCAAAAGAAGTTGTTTAAATGTTTAAACACATTTGACCCTGACCTGATGATCTCCAAAGTTGGTCATGATCAAGGTCAATCGTTTGAACAAATTTTATGCCACTTCATCCATGTATGCTACTGTCTAAATATCACAACACTAAGCCTTTTCGTTCTTTATATTTAGAAGAAGCTGTTTCAAATATTTTAATACGTAGATTGTAATCTGTAAAGTGTGTCAAGGTCATTCATTTGAACAAAATTGATAGCACTTTAAGTAATACTGGCAAAATATGAGGACATATACCTATATAGGCTATGGGTTATTTAGAAGAAGTTGTTTAAAAGAAAAAGTTGATGTCAGATGGACGTCAGACGCTGGACCATGCCAAATGTTTACACTTGACCTACAGGCAGGGGAGTTAATGAGGTAAACATTTCAAAGTATACAAAATATGCTTGGAAAATTCAATCAAAAGTGAAAACTGATGTCAGACGATTTTCCGTAACATCACAAAAAATGTAAAAAAAAAATAAAATTGTTGACTTATAATATTACACATGTTAGTAAGTGATATGAACAATTTTAACTCACCTTCTGCTGTATTGCCTCTCAAAGTAATTCTTTGTTTCATTCTGTTCTATGGGGTAACTGGGTAACTCATAAGGGGCGGAGACCTCATTGAAGGGTACGTGTCCCTCAACACTGCGATTAAGGATAGTGTCAGCAAGTTCCTTAAACTTGTCGTCCATTGGTGTGTGAATATGCTTCGGAAACTTCAACTTGGCTGGCGAAAATTTTGGAGACAAGAGTTCCTCTGTCAGAAAAATGAAATAAGGCATTTCAATATTTGTACATACATGTACACTAGGTGTTCTGGTTAACTCAACCACCCCTTCATATTTGAACTGGATGTGTGTCTAGTCTTTGATTTTGGGAGGTCCAAATGTGATTCGTGAGGTCCAAATGTGATTCGGGAGGTCCAAATGTGATTTGGGAGGCCTAAATGTGATTCGGGAGGTCCAAATGTGATTCGACTTTGTGTCAACTTGTACATGTATATAATTGGCTGGTTTGACATATAAACTGACTTAAGAATTCAAAATTGATATTAATCAGCATAATCATGTGTTGATATAATTGGAAATTAATTGAGCTTTCTTCCGAAAGCGAAATTTGATATAGATTCCATGAACTTAACTTCTACTTAGGGTTCAATTGAGATGACGTCAGTGATCACGTGATTCAGTCTTCAGAGTCTGTAACACGAATTCTCATACGTCAACTGGGTGGGAAAAAACCCGGGTTGGGCAATTGAACCATAAGTAGAAGTTAAGTTCATGGAATCTATATCAAATTTCGCTTTCGGAAGAAAGCTCATTTTAATTTCCAATTCCATGAACTTAACCTACTTAGGTTCCAAATGAGATTTCAGAGATGAGATTCGTGTTACGGTAATAATCAGATACATTGTGTACAGAAAATCAGAAATCAATACATAATTCAAACTGTAACTGTATATTTTATTCTATTTACAGGTAATATATACATGTACATGGTCAGCCCATGAAGGTAACAGTCTATGATCATGATCTACTGGCAGTGTGCTGTGGCAAGATCCCAAGGTTAAGTTAATGGAATGATTAATCTAGTCCATCTCCCTACATAGTGCTATATATATATATATACTGACAAGGATCCCTGTATTACTGCCGACAAAATGACACCATGCATTAACAAGGTTACCGCGAGCGGTATATAATACGCCAGTCACACATTGAATGAGCAGTTGTTTGTATGATTGAAATATATGAAGTATTTGTGAGTAATTGATATGAAAAGAGAAATCATTCAACATAACTGGTAGATCAATGAGTGCAATACAACATCATCGAACACATGCATCGCATTAATGAAACCAAGGGGAATAACTCCAATAATTACGGTCGGATAATGGCGGTTATCGAACTTGTCCGAGGTTTCATGGTAATTAACCTTGTTGTGAAGTTTGAAGTTAATCCGTTAATAATTACTCGAGATATCGAGCGGACACTGTTTCGGCAAAGTCCATAAAGGGGCATAACTCCACAAATTATGGTCGGATGATGGTGGTTATCGAACTTGTCTGAGCTTTCATGGTAATTAACCTTGTTGTGAAGTTTGAAGTTAATCCGTTAATAATTACTCGAGATATCGAGCGGACATTGTTCGCATGCCCGCCCGCCCGCGTGATAACATAATACGTCCCCGTCTTCGACGGGCGTATAAAAACTGATTTTTCTAGCATAACTATTTATAAGTTTTGATACATTACTTTTGAAAAGAAAAGTATACCTTGCCGTACTATTATGAAAACATTGATCACAGAGACGAAATAAACAAAATATAATCCACAACAGGTTCTGCATGTATAAGCCTCCAAACAGTTGTGTGTTAAAAAGAATTGGCACTAATCTAAAAGAAAAAGGGCAAAATTACTATTTTTAAATATTTTATCTTGTCCAATTTTAATGACTGCCCTGATTGGCTTGGCACTTCTGTTAGTGTAACCTTGCATTGCAAAAACCAGGAAGATGGAGAAAGTTCAGGAATTCGAAGAGCCACACGCTTTATTGAAAACTTTTGAAACAAAACATTCTAGACATATAGGCTGAAGACGATGGCTAAAGAAGTATAAAAGATTTAAAATAAGATAGCACCAGATTTTATCAGTGACCTTGTGGAGAAAAATAATGTCTTATAAAATTTCAGAAAAACCCCCACGTTACAGTGCAAAGGGCTAGAACCACAAGGTATGGAAAGATGGCATGTCGTATTGAGGCCGCCAGAGTATAGAACAGCCAGTCTAATGAACTGAAGTGTGCTGAGAACTATAACTATTTACCTTCTGCAGGCTGTATGTTGCGTACCTGGGATGGCCAGTTATGTAGTTGTGCTATATGTGTGGAGTAAATGTCTAGCTTTTGTGGTTTTTATTTCAATTTATGTTTAGCTTTTTCTCTTAACTTAATAAATGATAGTGTTTTCTTTTAACTTATGCTATACTAGGCATACACGCCACTTATTTACACTAAATTTCTATTGTGCTATATTTGTTTGCGTGCGTCTGTCTGTGTATGGATTGTTGTTTGCTTGCTTGCTAACAAGTAGTTCTCTGATTTACATTGTTTGTGTAATAGGACAAGAAGTGATAAAGATAGTGCCGTCGCTGGGCCTCCAACCGGAGGCCATTGGCTCTTCAGCCCGATGCTCTACCACTGAGCTAAAGGGAAATTCCCTACAGCTGACGCTTGTAAGGCAACCTAATCAATGCACTTCTTTTACACATGCATGGCTGCTTCGGACTATAAATTTGTGATTCAGTATTTGAAGGGAGGTGATTCTTACAATTTTGGTCTCGCAATAACACAACAGATATCCTGATTTATTTCTCAAAAGCAATTATTAATCGATCATGATCAGCTACATGTTGTTATGGGTAACCGATGATCAATCATAAAATTTCAACCAATTCGCAACACTGTTTGTATATCATATGTTTTGTTACTAAGCTGTGCTTTGTCACTTATACTCACTAACTACTAGGGGACATCCGGGTAAATACGGACACTTTTCAAATGATGACTGCTAATACACGCTCCTTGGTACAGTTAGAATGAAGGTCCCTACCTGTTTTTATTTTTAGTTATGCTTTTGATTCAGTTCGGTAAAATGAACACTAAAATATAAACCAAATCACAGAATTTATAGAAATCCATTGTGATACGGACACATGAAGGGTAATTACGGACACGTGTCGGGTAATTACGGACATGTGTCGGGTAATTACGGACACACTACTCTAATCATGCACTCGCCCAATAAAACCATAGAAACTGGTCACAATGTTTCGCCAGGGATTCCTACATGTTCTGCTCTAAGTTCATGCTCTTGTCCTGTCAGCATACAACATCATTCCGGGGCAGTTTGTAACTGCCCCCCTTCCCCCCAACCAAGGACTTTTCGCAATGACATTCCACTGCTATAGTTTTTTTTTTTTATATTGGCGAGTCCAAAATGTAAGTTTGTCAGTCTAATAAGGTGTATAATTGTGTTAATTCTAATACCAGATGTTTTGCTTGCTAAAAGAAATCAACATAAAATCCTCATTTTGAAAACCAGAGTCAAAACAATATCAGTAAGTTAATTGATCAATTAAGAACTGTCCGTATTTACCTGCCCAAAAAAATGCTGGGGGAAATAACGGACGCTTCAGACACAATAGTTCTTCCTTAAATTTTCATATTTATAAACTACTGCAATCTAATATATCTATAAGTAACAACATTAAGAGTACAATATAAAGGATAACTATTGGGTTATTGTGAAGATAATTGTAACATAACAGTTGTCTCTAATCATGGCTTATCTTTCGGACATCGATTCCGAAAATCAAGTTTCCGGACGTGTCGCAGGTGCTTGCATGACGACGAATATTATCAGACATGCCATTGCTATTTTTAGACTATGGATTGGGATATTCCGGTTATTGTCCGCCAATGAAGACCAAAATCCATACCAGTTAAACGATCTACGTCTAGCATGAACAGAGTTTGATTTAATATCATATGTAATGGATTATGTATGATTCATATATATTAGAACTGTCCGTATTTGCCCGCCTGTCTGTATTTACCCGGATGTCCTCTACATACAACAAGTCAGTCAGAATACACAAAATATTAACAACTACTGTTATTTTTCAGAGAAACTTGGGGGGGGGGGGCACTTGAGAGAGGCATTTTTGAAAAAGATGTCCTTTAAATATTTTCATGGTTGAAAAGTAAGAAATTTGAAGAGGAGCATTATATGAATGTTTCCCTGAGAATCACCTATACGTTATACTATATATAGATACTGTATATTTTCATGGCATCAATATTCTAGAGCATTACAGAATATGCAGACGATGTCTGGCTATATTTGTTTACCCTCTTTTGTACTATTGAAATAACGTTACTATATATATCAGCGGTGTCGTTCACGTAGCCATACATTTATTTCTCAGAAAGGATAAACATATCTACATTATCTCTAAAACTCAATTTTATTTCAGATGTCTACCGAAGCCAGAGGCCAGAACAATATAGCTACAGCTGTAAATAAAGCAATCGATATTTGATTATTGCGTCCTGAAATTAGCGATGGGCAGTGACAGGAAATGAGTTCAAATGCATTGTTTCAAAATCCCAACTGTGTTTGCTTTTGTTACCTGAAGGTCTCTTCTTCAAATCATCTTCTTCTTCGTTATCCATTTTATGTTCAGGATTTTGGCTAAAATTGGATAAAATTGTAGCTGTGTCTGTGAGGGTCACGGATGCACTAACACAACTGTCAACACAATCGGGAACCGTCGGCACTTTCCGTAAACGAGAAATACCTCGGGAGTAATCTCATTACCATATCGGGACCCAATCGGGAATCGTCGGCACTTTCCGTAAACGCGAAAATACGATTGCTGTCAAAGATGCATGAAGAGTTTCAAGTAAAGGGGAATAACTGCAGATTTAAAAAAAAATGTACGCCGTGTTCAACATATCAGTACAAAATAACGTTAGTTTAAACTTTATTTTATTATCGATATCATATTCCAGTAATGCAAACATGATATACATATAGGATTCGAAAAACAAGTACAAAGTACTTATTTTAATCCGTCTCCTTTGTTTGTAAAACGGCGATTGGACGGCACTCACGAATATTATGCATATATCCAGATATACCTATAAGCATAAATGGAAAAGAAGAGGATGGGGGAGGAAGAAGGGAAAGAGGTGCAAAAGGGTTTAAAGAAATTATTGTTGGGGGTAAAATATATATGGGAGTAAAATACATTCTACTTCACTATGGGAGGAAAAACTGATTGGAGTATATTTTGGATTTATATAGACACATGTCGAGGACTGTACATGTCACTGAGGTATTCGACACACCATACATTAATTGCGATAGTGAAAACTTTCAATTCTGACCCCTGAGTATTCCGACATCCAATGGTGAACAACAACCTGGTGTAATTTGAAATATTAAAAGTATGATCTATATATATATCAGCTCGCCTAATTACTGGGAATTACAAAAGTCGGGATGAAGCTAGGATGTGTCACAGAAATGCTACAACACCTAAAACTACCAACCTTACAACACAGAAGGAAATCACAGCGGCTAGTATTCATGTACAAAGTAGTTAAGGGGTTAATATCAGCCCTACCCCAGATCAGATAATCCAGCACTCTGGAAGGACGCGAAAACAAACACAGCGCGTTATGTGAACTATGAAACATCAGCAACATTAAACAGGAACATTGTCAACAACTCGGGGCCATTAATCATCCCAGGATACAAACAGGAAGCATACAAGAACTCATTCTTCATCAAAACATCGCTTGAGTGGAACTAACTGGATGATATAGTAGTGTGCGCAGAAAGCGTAGAGGGATTTATATTAGCCCTTTTAAAGACATCCAATATAAGTAACATATTCTCTCTCTCCCGTCGTGTCATGCCATTATTGGTAACTACGACGTACACAATGTAAATGTAAATGTAAATATCCATACTGACGTGTCGTGACATACACGGGCCGTACCAGTTAAGTCCCATTATGTACCACATGTAAACATACGTGTAATCAAAATTGACAACTTCAAACTTAAAATCGTTTCGACTGGTTAATGAAATGTTGGACACAGTCGAAAATATTCTCATTATATTTAACTGGCATATCCGGATTTCCGTACAGACGAAGATTGAGGAAGGCCTCTGAAGCATTGTACTCTTAATTGTTGGTATTTCGGACAGAAGAGGAGGAGGAAGTGTTCGGTAGTTTCAGCAGAATGATTGCAAGTACACATGAGACTACCAACTAGTTTTCGTCTACAGTTCATCCTTAATCGTGCATGATGGATTTGGCCGAATCTACTTCTGCAGTAGTAATAATAAAGCGGAACAAGATGAATTTCAGCATTCAATAGCTTTTTAAGATTATTAATCGACGTGTTAGGCTTTATATGTTATCGGGAATGCATTTCATAGGTCAATAGAAGAGAGTAAGAAAGAATCATGGTGAAGCTGGGTTCTACAGTATAGTAACGAGAAATGAGTTGGTTTATTAATTTTCTTACTTACAATCTTTGTCACTGTTTTGTTAGGGTTAAAGTTATCAAGCCATTTTTAAGACCAATCATGGATTTATTTTAGATTGTAATCTAAGATTAGATTGTAATCTAATTAATGAAAAATAAAAACAGCGATGGACCTAAAATTGACCCCAGGGGTACCCCGGTTGTAGTAGATGCTAAATCAGACTGTTTACCATTAATAACAACTCGTTGAGACCGATTATATAAATAATTTGAGAACCAAGTAAGTATATTTCCTGTTATGCCAAAGTTTTCGAGTTTAGAAAGAAGACCACGATGCCACACTCGGTCGAACGCTTTGCTAATGTCACAGAAAACCATTCTGTTTTCTTCATCTTTGTCTAGAGCAGAATAGGTGTCGTTAGAAATAGATATAAGTTGGTTTGTAGTGGAATCGCCGGATCTAAAGCCAAACTGATAAGGAGACAAAAGAGAATTGTCAATTAAATAATTGTTAACATATTTGTATACGCACATTTCCATCATTTTGCCAATAATACATTATAAAGATATGGGACGGTAGTTGCTTAGGACGGATGAGTCGTATTTTTTGAACACAGGTGTGACGTTGTGACGTTGGCCCTCTTCCATAGGGACGGGAACATGCAATCAGTAAGAGAGTAGTTAAATAAAGATTGAAGAGGATAACTTAGAATATCAGCAGTTTCCTTGATCAAACGAGGATGTATAAGGTCAGGAGTTGCCAACGGCTTTCTTGCAGTCAAGATTATGTATAACATCAAGAACGTCTTGACGAGATATAACCAATGTCAGAGAGTGTGAGGCTGTTGTAGATAAGGGGGGGGGGGGGGGGGGGGGGGGTCAATATTTGTGTCATCAATTGTAGCTTGCGAGCTAAAGTAAATGTTGAAAGCATTGGTTATTTCTTGATCGTCGTGTATTATGTCATTGTTAATTAAAATCGGAGGTATATATCGCTTTTTCTACTAGTGTTAGACATAAAGCGATTGACAATTTTCCACCATTCCTTATCACTTTTGTTACGTTACTATTCTGTTTAAGTTTGAGGCTGAGTTTGTTAAAATATTTCCTTTTTGAATTACGTATGACATTTACACAAGTATTTCGGATTTTCTTGAAATTTACCCAGTCATCACCATTCTGAGATTTACCCAGTCATCACAATTCTGAGATTTCTAAAGTTTGCGATGAAGATATTTCCTTTTTCTTATCAACTTCCTAATGATAGTATTCATCGATGCAGGATCGTTGGTTCTTATACACTCCCTTGCGATATTGAGTAAAACATCTGTAAATATTTCTGTTTTGTCGTCGACATCATTACCAACTAAAATACTGTCCCAGTCAATTTTAGAAAGTTTGTCTCTGTATTCGTCATAATTACCAAAGTAAAAAATATCTAAGTATAACGTTATGTTAAGTTTGTCAGGACAATGAGTTGATCATTCCTAGACCGAGTTCCAGTTCAATAAGCAAAAGGCCAAGGGTAATGATATTTGGCCACTAACATGCTGGTATGAAAGGGTACCAAGTTTGTTCAAATAATTGACCTTTGCCCATATTCAAGGGCACAAGGGCCAAACATATTTAAATCTTAAATGACCTGTTTTGAATAACCAAAATGTCCAGCGTAATTATATTTGGCCAGAAGCATGCTGGGATGGAAGGCTATAAACTCTGCTTAACTTAATGTCCTTGTTTGACTTTTAAGGTCACAGGCGTCATATGTTTAAAAACATTCTTATGAATGAAACACTGATATTTGGTTGTAGCTGTATTTTAGTCCACTTTTAAGATGTCAATTTTGAGATTAATACCAGGTAAGCGATTCAGGCAAATTGGGCCTCTTGTATGCAGATGTGCAAAAGAGCGTTAAAACATTTTTATGTCAAGGTCATCTACCAAAAATACACTGTGAGGATATGGGCCGAATCTCGGAATCCAATTTTTGTTTAAAAATTGACATGGTAATGCAGATTCTAGATTTGACATTGTGGTACATTATGTGCAACAGGGATTTAAAGAATTTTCAAGGTCAAGGTAACAATTACTAAAAATAGTCCATTAGCTGATTCGCACATGGCGGGGACTCTTCAACCGAATTTAATTTAGGATAGAGGAATAAGAGTAAAATGTCTAATAAATCTTTTGTTGCATTTGCCATTTCGACGATTTGCGTGCTAGTTACGGTTCTCTTCTAATATTGGTATAAACAAACATCTTAATTTACAGCTATTTACACTCAGGGTCTCGGCAATTTGCCATTGTCAAACTTTTTGTTGTCAAGCATTTTTATTGTTATTCTTAATAGATTGAAAGTGCACGTTCTGACAATTATTATTATTATCATTATTACCAACCCATCAACACAGTAAAGGCCAACAAATGGTGACTCAAATTTTATCAAAAAGACAAACAGAATTCAGAAAGCCTAAAATTGAAGAGACAGTTCTGTTTTCGAAAAGAGATTTAAGACATGTAATGTTATTATAAAATGTTCTCGAGTTGACTGAAGTCGATACAATCTAGTAAAAAGTGCTTTACTGTAAATGGTTCCTGACACGCTATGCATTGAGGCTGGTCTTCACGTTTTGATAAACAAGAGGCACAGAGGGCGTGTATCGCTCACCTGGATATCTAAGCAATCATGGCAAAATATTGTTTTTAATGAAATCCCAGGGATAGGACCAGACCTCAAGGCCAAACCTTGTAGCATATCTGTATTTGATTTGTCATGTCAAGCAAGTGTATGTCTGGTTATGGGGTGGGGATCTCAATTGTTTCCAAGTTGTGACTCAGAAACTAGGTCCCTAGGGTTGTGGCAAGCCCCCAGGGTCAATTCAAATATCATGACTGCATTTGTATATTCATGCCCAGCAATTGTATATATAGTTTTGGGGAGGTGACCTCAACTGTTTCAAAGTTATGAATCAGAGTTTAAGTCTTCACGGGTGGGGCAGACCCCGGGGTCAATTCTAATAATTTATCATGACTACATTCGTCTCTTTATGCCCATCAATTGTATATAAAATTATTTTGGGATGGGGATATCAACCGTTTCCAAATTATGGCACAGAAATCAAGGTCCCTAGGGATGTGGCCAGACCGAAGGGTCAATGATATGTCATGATAGTGTTTGTCTCTTTATGTCGAGCAATTCTTCAAATACAAGAGCCTAATTAATATATTTCCCTATTAGGCCCTGCCATTTCCCCCAGGAAGGGAACTCTTTAT